ACTTAATCTATTGTAATACAGATAAATTTTAGTTGCTCAAGCTGTCTTTGACTATAAACATTCAAATTTGAATTTTTTAGAAAGCATATTGCATAATAACAGTACACTGCATTTATTTATACAATCTTAAAATTTCTTTCAGGAATTGTTCCATCTTCTGTTGTCCTGACTTCTTTTCAGGTGATGTCAAGAGTTTTTCTAATATGGGCAGTAACACATAGTGTCAAAGAGGTAAGTGGAAAAAAAAAATACCAGCACCTAACAGTCGCTAGTGAACTTTTCTTGTACATGTATGTGTGACCAAAGACAGAACTGCAGATCATTTCAAAATAACCAGGTTAAAATTCACTGGTGCTGTTGCAGTGGGGTCCAAAGTGGGAAATGTACTCTCAGTCTGTAGTGCTGCTGAAAAGAGGGCTGGATCAGAGTTGAAGACGTTTGATCTCAATTCCCATGGAGGTTTGGTGTGTGTTTGGTCAGCAGTTCAGTTATATTTCTTGGTGTCTTATGTGTAGCCAACATCTCAACATCTTCATTCTTTTAGTGAGAACAGAGAACACTGATTCTCTCTTAGAGCAGTTTAGTTTTCATGGGACCAGAAGAAACAGGATGCTCATATAGGACCTGACTTATATTGACAAGGCAGGCCCAGGAACACACTGTCAGAACTGAGAGGAGAAACCATCATTTCCTTGGATGTGAATCCATAGCTAATCATTGACTTGATTGGCTTGATTGTTGCTTTGAGTGGAAGGATTCTCTGCTCTTCTAGTAAGTTAGCTATTTCTTACTAATGTTATCTTGAGGTAGAGTATTTGTAGCTATAAGAACAATTTATTTTTTAGCTTACAGTCCCAATGGCCTGTTACCAGCATCATTGGATTTCTTGAGGCCCCTGAAATTGCTCATCTAGTAACATTATTCTGGGATATTCTTTGTCCTGTGTTCTGAAATCCCTGTCAAAACTTTGTTTTTCAGAATTTATTTTGACAATTTCATTTGTATTTCAACTAGTGAGGCTTTTATTAAAAACCTTTTTATTGCCCTATAATATGTATGTACATATCACAAAACTGATTTGCATAAAACTGAGTTCTTAGCCAAAGTTTAATCAACTTTAATTAATAATATACTATTTTTGTTATATTTGCATGGAATTTTCAGGTCCCTGGGCTTTATTTCTTAGTCTCTTTCATGCCTTCATTCCTTCAGGATGTCTAAGCTTGCCATGTAGGAAGAATGCTAAATAATTGTGAACCTATTTTTAGTTAAAGTTAAAAGAAAACATGGAAATAAATTCTTCTTCTTTTTTTTTTTTTTTTTTTTCAGACAAGAGTCTCACTATGTAACTCTAACTGGCCTGGAACTTATAGCCTGGGCTGGCCTCAAACTCAAAGATCCGCCTGCCTCTGCCTCCAAGTGCTCTGGTACTAAAAGTGTGCACCACCATGCCTGGTCCTTCATTCCCATTCTTAATTGTTAATGGAGTTAGGAAAGTTGAATGCCAACTCTTTATTACATCATTTTTAATGTGTATTTTTCTTCCATACTATTTTTGTTTATGCTATATCTTTTTCATTGAAGCCAGTAACTCCTAAACTCATTTTCATTCTTTACCCCCAACCCCAACCCCTTTGCTGAGATTGAACCCCAGGCCTCATGTATCCTCTCCAGCCCTCTTTTTCACCTTTTTATTTGAGACAAAATCTAAGTGATTCATCCTGGTCTTGAACTCACCCTGGAGGCCAAACAGATCTTGAACTTGTGATCCTCCTACATAAGCCTCTTGAGCAGCTGACATTACAGACTTTGCCCCACCAGGCCTGACTTCTTATTTACATTCTTAAATAGATTGTTGTGTATTGTTAGTAATGAGATGCATCAAGCTAGGTAGAGCCAAAGTATTGTCTGGTAGAGCGTGTTCAGTCATTCTACCAGCGTAGTCAGATATTGATCATCCAGGTGTTAATGGCTCAGCTGCTTTACCACGCCTCTACTTATTAGCACAGCTGCCAAAGCAGGTGTGCAAGCACCTAAGCATACTTGCAGTTCCAACCAGATTTCCTAGGCAGACCATTGAGACTGATTGCATAAAGAGCTATTAAATGTCTCCTTAGATTACAGGTGCATAGACTTGGCTATCATCCTCAGTAACCACACTGCCTACCAGGTGTATAGACTTGACATTTAGTCGATGGTTTCAAATGCAATATCACATTCAAGTATTAGAGTATATACTCATTACATGTGCATATTCAAAATTGTTTCTCTGCAGCCAAAATGGAGCTTTCAGCCAACATTTTCTGAAGAATATGGTATAGTAAATTTTAGCATCTTTTTGTCACCTCTTGGGTTTCCTTGTTTCTGTATCCTTTTGTTTCCGTATACCCTATTGATCGGTTGACTTGCTCTTTCCTTGGGTACTTAGAGTTCAGCCTTTTTGCTGATCTAGGATCTCATTTCTTTTCTCTGAACAGAACTCCTCACTCATCATTTGCTTATAACTATGCATTCTCTCTCTGGCCCTTCCCAAGTTGTTTGGCAGCTAAGTTGAAAAGCTTCTTAGAATGGCTTTTTGGAGGCCAGGCTGTTTGTTATCACATGTTCCATACCCCCTTCTCTTAACCAAATGCTATTTTTCCTCAATTAAAGTTTCATAGAAGCTATAATTCAGTTTGTTGTGTACAACATTGCACATAACTTCCCTTCTTGAAGCATTTAAAATATCTGTTTTACCGTCTATCCATGTCTCTGTACTTTAATTGTGGGAGCCATGTAATTAATGTATACAGAACTGACTCCTTAAGAAAATGCATCTTGGGAGCCAGGCATGGTGGCTCACGCCTGTAATCCCAGCACTGGGGAGGCAGAGGCAGGTGGATCTCTGTGAATTCAAGGCTACCCTGGTCTACAAAGTGAGTTCCAGGCCAGATGGGGCTACAGGGAGATCCTGTCTCAAAAAGACAACGAAAGAAAGAAAGAAAGAAAGAAGGAAGGAAGGAAGGAAGGAAGGAGAGAGAGCGAAAGATAGATAGATAGATAGATAGATAGATAGATAGATAGATAGATAGATAGATAGATAGATAGATAGATAGATAGATAGATAGATAGATAGATAGATAGATAGATAGATAGATAGATAGATAGATAGATAGATAGATAGATAGATAGATAGATAGATATTATGCATCTTGGGGCTGGAGAGATGGCTTAGTAGTTAAGAATACTGACTGCTCTTCCAGAGGACCCAGGTTCAGTTCCCAGCACCCACACGGGGGCTAACACCAGTCTATAATTCCAGTTCCAGAGAATCCAATGCCCTCTTAGGGCCTCTGTGGGCATTGCACACACATGGTACACTTAACATACATGTAGGCAAAACATTCATACACATAAAATAAAAAGAAACAAATCTTTAAAAAAGGAAACTACATCTCATTCTTTCACAGTAACGTTCATATTTTATCATAGCACTGTATACTTTCATCTCTCAGTTTCTTTGTCATGTTTCTCATTAAAGTAGACAAGCAGAAATCTTTTTTTTTTTGGTCTTTTTGAGACAGGGTCTCCCTGTAGTCCCAGCTCTCTTGGAACTCACTATGTAGACCAGGCTGGCCTTGAACTCACAGAGATCCACCTGCCTCTGCCTCCCAAGTGCTGGGGCTACAGGCATGTAGCACCATGCCTGGCTAGAAATCTGCTTTTCTTAAAAAAAGAAAACAAAACAAAAAAATGAAAAAAAAAAACAACAACAAAGCACATTCCCTGTGGATTTGATTCTTGCTCTGCACTCTCTGGCCTGTTTGTGTTTTCTGTGTTCATTCCTTTTTTTTTTTTTTTTTTTTTTTAATGGTTTGTGATTTGCTAAGGAAAAA